CACGAGCACAGAAGCGTGTATTTGGCCAAGAACGGCTAAGGCCGCAGACACTCCCACCCTACTTCCTCCTGGTGCCATCTTAGGCTGCCACATTAATACTCCCTTGTGGGGGCCGGCCCGGTGGCGCACTCAGTAGAGTGCGGCGCTTAGGAGCGTGGCGGCACTCCCGCCGAGGGTTCGGATCCCATATAGAGACCAGTCCGCTCACTGGCTGAGCGCAGTGTGGGCGCGACACCGAGGGTTGCGATCCCTTACCAGTCACAAAAAAAAATACTCCATTGTGGGCCCATAATGGCACCACTTGTAATGTCACTTAAGGTGGCATTAGTTTTTAAGGCCCGACAAAAATCAGTAGCCAGAGAGGAAAGAGAAATATCAAAAGAGTGTGGTATGCCAGAAGACAAGAGAATACAGGCTGAGTATCCCTTATCTGAAATGCTTGGGACCAGAAGTGTTTTGATTTTGGATTTTTTCAGATTTTGTACTATATGCAGTATACTTACCCACTGAGTATCCCTAATCTGAAAATCTGAAATCTGAAATGCTCCAATGAGCATTTCTTTTGAGCATCATATCAGCTCTTAAAATGTTTCAAATATTGGAGCATTTTGAACTTCAGATTTTTGGATTTGGCATGCTTAACCTGTATTTCAAAGAGGAAGTGATTGGAGACCAAGATGGCGACAGGTCTGGAGCAGGGGGCGCCAGAAGACAGCGTGAGCCTGAGAAGTGTGCACTGTGCTGCCAGAGTGCTATTTGCATTTCCAAGAGCAACAAAAAATGAATAAGTCTTTGTTCAACTAATCTACAACTATAAAAAAGCAACTACAGATTTGAAGTTTATGGCCGACATAAAAGAAGATTCCTGAGAGTGCCCAAGCTGCGCCACAGGACCGAGTGAGAAGCCCAAGGTGGCAGCGGCCAAGGACGGGGACGGCGATGACATGGAAATGGAGAGAGAGTCACCCGGCCGGCCCAGCTCTGTGAGTGACCCCCAGCCCAGCCCTGCTTGCAGGGCAGACACCTGTCCAGCTTCCACCTGCCACACCAGGCCAGTCACTGGCCCCAGGGCTGCCTCAATTTCTCGGGTAGGGGTGTAGCTGGCCGGCTCGGCCAGGCCTGCCCTCCTCGCCTGGCTCAGCTCCTCACTGAGCCTTACCACATGCTTGCCCTGGCGTGGGGCCTCCCAGGGCCTGCGGGCCAGCCTCCCATCCCTCTGGCGGGACTGGTGGCATGGGGGGGGGTCCCGGCCAGCTTCGGGAAGGCAGGGAAGAGCAGGCTGGGCCGATTGTCACTACACTGCACCCTCGGCTCCGGCCTCCGGTAAACTTCCTGTTACCGGGAGGCAGATACCATCTCTGCAGCCATCAGTTCAGAAAAACACCTAACCGATTTCTGGTTAGGAAAAGTGTGGTCAGAGCGCTCCCGAGCTCGCTTGAAACTGCCGGAGAGCTGACTGCAGGCAGGCGCCGGAGTTGGTCCACGCTGGGGGGATTCAAAGAGGAACTGTGTGCTGCGGGCTCCTCTCCTGAG